CCCGGGGGGGCGGGGCGGGCCCGGGAGCCGCGGCCGCTCGGCTCCCGTGGCTCCCCGTGGCTGGATGGGTGCTGGGGCTGCAGCAAGGCCTGGGGAGGGGGGACGCGGTGGCAGAGGCTGCTCCTTGCAGCTTTTGCTGCATTCAAAGGCCGCAGTGCAAAGCCCAGAGCCTGGTGCGCAGCTCACCCCTCGGCACGGCTGTGCCGATCGCAACAACTCCTCCCAGGGCGGCCTGCTGCCCTCACCGCCGCCGCCTCCTCCCTGGAGGGAAACCGGTTCCCTCGCTGCGGGGGATGAGGAAGGGACAAGTTTTAAGCAGTCCCTGGGAGCCGGCAGCTCCGGGCGCAGCTCTTCCACTGCCCCCGGCTCTCCGGCCTTGCCCACCAGCTCCCCTGCTCAACGAGGCCGTTGCCTTTCCTCGGTCCCTTCCTGGGGTCTCGCCCTGAGCGACGAAAGGGGAGCGAAGCCCCCGCACGGCTAAGGCGAGCCGCGGCTGTTTCTGCAGAGCCGCCCCGCTCACCCGCGAGCGAATCCCTCTCGGCGGCTCCAGGCTTTGTAGAGAAGACATCAAACACCCGCTTTTGTTTTTGAAGGGGCAACACAGGAACACACGCGTGACTCTGCACACAAACCCTTTGCCTGTTCTTCCTCACATACGCCCCGCGCAGCACACGCTCGGTGTTTTGGGACCGGAGGGTTTACCCCAGCGCGATCGCGGGGAGCGTTATCATGCAGAATCTGTTTGGCAGAGGAAGCATTACACAGGGCGGGAGGCTCCCACACCCCCGCCTTTCACGGCTCTTTCCTGAACGGGTGACACATCCCATACCGTCTGCTACAGCTTTCTGTTCAGTCAGACAGGGGCTCTTGCCCTCTTTGATGTCCAACGCTTTCTAGCCAACACAACACAACTCCTACCCGAAAGAGGCGCCTACCAGTACCGCTGGGGTTAACAACTTTCAGCCTCACTACACACAACTGCACTTTCTCTCTCACAAGTTAAATAACCTGCAGCTATTTCCGATGCCTGAGCAAAGAAGTAAAATTTGAAGTGGGAGTACGGCAAAGCGCCGGGTCCCCGGTGGCAGAACGGCACGTCCGCACGCCCGCGGGGGATGCTACGAGCCTCCGGCTTGCAGAGGCACCTGCAGCTCCCGGCACACAGCGCCGTGCCGGGGCACCGCAGCGTTCGGCGGCTCTCTGCAAGCCTTGTCTGTGCCCACGCTAGGGCAAAGGTGCCGGGATAAAAGCCTACAAGGGGATATCCTAGAGACAGGCAGGCAACATCCAGGGATGCTTCCCAGTATATCTTGAAGCAATTTAAAGCGTTTAGCTTTAAATCCTGTCCGGGCTGAATGCGAAAGCGGCCGGGCAGAGAGCAGCAGGAGGAGAGAGGTGCCACAACACGAGTGCTCTTGCTCCCTGCTATTACGGCAGCGCTGCAAACGGCATTTGTCAATCCCTAAGGGTCTTTGCTCCGCCACTGCAGAACAACAAGAGAGAGAAACCACAGGCCACTAGCCCGCGGCTTGCAAGATCAAGTCTTTGGTCCTTTAAAAGGAGCTCAGAGCCAAAGCGTTTGTCCCCTTTGCAACTGCGCCCCTTCCCTCTCCTCCGGGGAGGCGAAGGGAGCCGCGGCGTGGATCTCAGCCCTCAGCTGCGGCGTCATGTTATGGGTCATCCAAAGATTGGCAGGGTCCAGGAGACGGGCAAATCGGGATCACGTGTTTCTATCATCAGGAGAGAGGCCTTTAAGTGCAAAGCCATCTCTATCGCATGAAAAGCAGCAGCAGGGTATTTTGCTTTGCGGGCTCCCTCCAAGGAGAAGCCGCTATGAAAGGACACCGTCCTACGCTAACAGGAACCGGAGCGGAGAAGCAGGAGAGACGCTCCATCCGCAGCAGAGCGGCCAGACTGGCTCGCAGAGCACAGATGCTGTTTGTTTTCAGCCCAATTACCTTGCTGCACATATTGTCTTTACTGCAGTTCTTGTTATCCTTGTCTGTTGCTTCCTCCTCCACCTTTACAAGGGAAAAAAATAAAGAGGGTATAAATAAAACCACAGAGCCGGGGGGGCGGAAGGAGACCGAACAGCTGGCGCTGGAGCAGCTGGGAGAGCATCGGGATGGGATCCAGGGTGCTCCATGGACATCGGACACAGGGAGCTACAGAGGAGCTGTGATTCAGAGAATAAGCCAGGCAACCCACTCGGGCTGCTTCTGCTTGATGAAACAAAACGAGAGCCACAAAGATTTGTTCCTATGAGGGACAGGGATGTCACCTCCAGCTGGGACACGAACCCCAGAGCCAGGTTCCTTGAGAGCCGAGGAACACGGTGCACGAGGAGCGCTGGGTGCTTCACGAAGCCAGACTGTGTAAGCACACGCTATTGAGCCTCTCGGCCTCCCTCCTACGAGGCCCGGGGCCGGGCTCCAGAGGGGCTCCTGACCGCGGCTCCTGCCATCATCCAGCGGGCAGAAGGGCTGATCTGGGACGCCGCAGACGCCGGAGCGCAGCCCTGCACCGGGAGGTCTCCTCGCCCCTGCCTGCCTGCAGGTCACTCGTGGGAGGTTCAGCTTCCACCCCTGAAGCTAAGGCAAGCCAAGAATCCCATTTTCTTATTTCCTGGAAAGATCTTCCACGTTTATACTCCTCCATCCCGCTGTTACGTCCTCCAGCGAGCACGGCTGCCCCGGTCCAGACCCTGCGCGCTCTGCACGTCTCCAGCACGCCTCCCACAGCCAGCACGGTGCCAGCCCTGGATCCCAGCCATGCCGAGGATCAGCACCCACACCCGGGCCGATGCCTGGCAGGCAGGAAACTTCCAGGTAAGGAAAGAGGGAGGCATCGTTCCCATTTGGGAGCAGGCAGCTGCAGGGCAGATTTTCTTGGATCACCGTTTCAGACTTGCTGCATTTAAGCCCTGTTTTCGTTACCCAAATCCATCACCTGGCAGAAAGAAGCCATCAGCAGAAACTGGAGGGCTGATGCCAACAGCGCTGATCAGATCGAGGGCAACAAGAGAGGATCCAACCTTCAACAGTTGCTTATCTCTGACCCCGCAAGCGAGAGCAACATCTCTGGGGCCGCAGAGACACGGGGCGGCAGCTCGGCAGCCGCAGGCAGGGCGAACCCCGGCCGGAGCACCCCGGGCTGGCCGAACAAGCTGACTGCACACGGCTTTTCTGGCCGCTCTCTGCCTCCTCCCCGCAAGCAAAGCTGATGGGAGCAGTCCCTGCGGAACGGCAGATGTGGGGCAACCCCGAGGAGGAGCAGCAGATGGACGCAAGGTGATAAAACGTCTCCCTCAAGCGGGAGGAGAGGACGGGGAAGCACAGTAGCGGGGACGAGGGCGGCAGGGCGGGCTGGCTCGCGTGCATCTCCCCAGCCGGGGCCCAGAGCCAGGTCTAAGCGCAGCTGCAACAGGAGAAGGCTGAGCAGGCACCTCAGGCTGGGATTCAGAAGAAAACCCCGAAACCTCTCTGTACTTCTCAGCAGCTTTTCGCCGGAGGCTGTCACAACCCCTTCTGAATAATTCAGCAACCTGCATAATCTCTCCAGAGGACGGACGTTTTGCCATCTGCATTAGACAGCAGAGGCCGGGGAGCAACCGGCCGCAGTCGCACAGCCTGGGAACTGGTTACCCTGCTCAGTCACACCTGCGCGAGGCTCTCCCAGCACCGGGAGCTCCTTGCTCCAGCTGCAGCATGAAACACCCTCCACCTACAGAGCCCAGGCCCTTGAAAGCCGGCCGGGCTGCCCGCGCGCTCCCCGGAGACCCGGTGTCACTGCGTCCGGCTACTCCCTGTACAAGTGGCTGTTGCGGACCAGGCAGACACGCTTGCCACTAAAAGCCTCCTGTAAGAGGTGAAGCCGTTTCCCTGCAGTTGTGGGTTCTTACCTCCTTCCTCCATTTGAGCTCACAGAAAACCCGTTCGAAGCACTCGTGCATGTAGTTGAACTGCAAAGAGAAAGCAGGCATCTCTCAGAGCAGCAAGCAGCCCCGCCAGCCGCCCTGGCTTCTAGCCGCAGGAGCCTGGCACTGCTTGCCTGCCCGGAGCTCCCCGTGCTGCGGGCTCCTCCTGCTGGCCACCAGCCCCTGCATCTCCTCCCACCCCAAAAGCCGGAGCACAGGGTGCTCCTCCAGCTTCTAGAGGGAAAACAAGCAGGCTCTGGGCTTTTCCTTACCAAATCTGCAAAAGCCGGGGGTACTTACATAGGGGGTGAAGATTTTAACCCATCGGGGTTTCTTCTCTCCTCGTGCGTATTCAAAACAAAATGCCATTCCCTCTTCGTCCGTGTCCCACCGCTGCATTTCGTCCCATTCGAATGCTATTACCTGGTTCTGAAGGAAGACGAAACCCAGGTGAGGCCAGAGCCCAGCCGACGGCGAGAAGGGGAGGTTTAAGGTGAAAAAGCAAAGCCGCGCGAAGGGGGAACGAGGCTGCCTCAGCCAGCCTCGCTGCGGGCAGGTACGAGCCGAGGAAGCAGCAACGCACGCTGACACCCAGAGAGCAGCCAGATAAAGCCCTGCGCCCCCAACCGCTGCCCAAATCCCTCCAGAGGCCCGGCAGCACCAGTCCCGAGCCCCGGAGCTTGGGGGACACGGTGCTGGCGCAAAGCCGAGGGGGAGGCCAGGGGCTGAGCCCAGCTCCCCGGGACCTGGCGGCAGAACCCCCTTACCTCCAGCTGGCCCTCCTCTGTGCAGGCATGGAGTTTAAAGTGCTTAATGCTGATGGCTGTGATCACATGTCCCTTCCGCCGAGAGTCGCAGGAGCAATGGGGGAAGATGATCTCGTTGTAACCCTCGCACGTCCGTAACATGTTTAAATACTGCGGAGAGAAAGCCGCAGGTGTTAGCGGACCCCCGCATCCTCCTGCTTCTCACGTCGCCTCTGCCTCTCGCACGCCCTAGTGCTCGTTGCCCCCTCGGGAATCCCTGGCTTTACCCCAGCCCAGGGAGGCCGGATCCCCTCCAGAGGGGACCGCAAAGCCACAAGCGGCAGGGCTGTGCCAGGGAAGGAGGGAGACCCCTCCGGCTGCTCAATTCCCCTCCCCAAAACGCGGATCCATCCAGGTACAGACGCGCACAGAGCTCCTCGTGGCCTCAAACGCCAAAAGCCCTTTCCAGGAGAGCTGGTGCAGCCGGAGTCGCCAATCAGCGCGACCGTGTTCCCGCGGGAAGGGTACGGATCTGAGCAAACAGCTAAAGCAGCCCCGGACTGAAAGCACCGCTCTCGCTGAGCCATCCTCCTGATCGACACAGGCTGAAGATGAACCAGAGAGAGAGGCTGCCGGGCAGATGCGGGATCTGGGTTTCTCAGAGCCCTTTGATGCAAACATTACAACTCGTGAAAAGGGCCAAAGAGGATATTTTGGCTGTTTCTGGCTTTCTGAGCGTAGCCCAGACAAAGCAGCACTGTGAGGGCACCGGAGAAGCGCTGGGAGCCCAGAGACGCAGCTCAGGACGTGGGAGAAGCCGGGAGCTACTCCAGGGGCCGGTGCTCCGGAGCCCGGCGACCTCTCGTTGCGTGAGCAAGGTTACGCAGGGCAGATCTACAAAGTCTGAAGTGACTTTTTAACCAAGGAACGAGCCACATCCAGACCGGAGGAAGGGGCCAACTTCTCAAGCGCTGTGCTCCAGGAAGGACCCTTAATAACCCGGGGGAGGCAGAGGCTGCTGGGACACAGACGTCGTCTTCTTGACCTTCTGCTAGACCAGGGCCCTGCTGCACCCCAGACACACGTCTGTGTGTAGGTTCAGATCTTTCTCTGGTCATCGGAAAGCCAGAGAGACAAGAAGAAACAAAAGAGCCATGAGACAACCCACAGGAGGAAGCGTCTATTTACTGAGCCTTATCATTAGTTAATAATTAACCTTCTTGGCTTGGCATTTCAGGAGACCTTTCCACCCCAAGGTAGTCCCCCAGCAGGGACCTCCGAGAACTGCCGCCGCCAAAGGGACTTTGAGGAAAGGCCCGACCAAGGCCAGCCAAACCGGGGAAGGGGATTCCCAAGGCCACGGCTCTCCAAGAGCAGCCAAGCTGGCCAGGGGAACGCAGGCGGGGTGCAGCGAGTCAGGGAAAGGGCAGCCTTCGCTCGTTCGGTACCGGCAGCCCCGAGCAACCCAGGAAGTTATTTACAAGTCAGATTCTTCTGCTGTTTGATCTTCAAGCCAAGCTTGCGTCTGGCAGACGAGCTCAGGGCATCCCCTTCGCTCCCCCACGTCCAAGCCAGGCAGGCTCATCGAGTCATACCAAGCCCCCAAGCATTTTCTGGGCAAAGAGATAAGAGGCAGAAAATCCCCGACCAGACAGCGACCTCTGACACAGGATTTACAATCCGGGAAGACTTCTGCCGAACAGAAAAAAAGAAACTAAGGCACAGAGGGGGCAGCAAGTTGCATTATGAGCAGGCCAGGATCCACCCCTCCCTTGGCCAGCCCAGCACCACCATCTCAAAGGCGGTCTGAGGCGCAAAGAGACCTTTGCCTCTCAATTACTAGGAAGAAACAGCCGTCCCTGAAGGGCTGCAGGTGAAGGATTGCTACACCACACGTTAAGCACCTCACCTTTCAACACCGGCAATAACCCGCAAGGTTTTATCGCTGCCTTGTTTGGAGCCGAGTCAATGGCTGATCTTGCCAAGGACAAGCCGCTGTTCAAACGCGCCAGGCACGAGGGGCGGTTTTGGTTCGTGCAGCAGCCGACCCTCGGGCACAGCCCAGCCCTGCGCCTGCCATTCCTGCCTGCCTGCACGCCCTGCCAACCCCTCCTGCACTAAGCCCACACCCCCACAGCTCTCCCCGGTTATTGCTTTCCAAGAAAGATGTGTTTTTCAAGGCTGTGTGCATAGAATGGTTTGGGTTGGAAGGGACCTTCAAAGATCGTCCAGTCCAACCTCCTGCCACGGGCAGGGCCATCTTCCACTAGCCCAGGTCGCTCAAAGCCCCGTCCAACCTGACCTTGAACACTTCCAGTGATGGGGCATCCACAGCTTCTCTGGGCAACCTGTTCCAGCGTCTCCTTTCCAGACACAGCATGGCAAACGGGAAGGAAAGCCAACAGGACAGGCGGGATAACTCACCATGACCATCTTTCTCTGCTCACACAGCTTCTGTAACTGGTAGGACTTCTCCTCTGCTTTGATGTAGCCTTTCTTGACATCATCAACAGCCTAAACAGAAAAAGGGAAAGGAAACCCAGGAGGTCAGACTAGAGGATCTCTTCACTGAGTCACAATGCTTTGCCTTCCCTGGCCGGCCCGAGGCCGCCCTGAACAGCCACCCAAATTCTCAGCCCCAGACCGCAGCCAGCGCGCCCAGGGAGGCAGAGGGACGGCCAGGCTCAGGGGGGTTCTTCGCACTCGCCGACTCCTGCCACGAGCCTCTGCCTGCCTCGGGGAGCGCAGAGATGCCTAGGCGTCCAGCAGGACTTTGGAAGAATGTCCCCTGGCAAAAGAGGATGGATCTGGAAATGCTGGTACCTGGTATCCTGCTTTTGCCTTCAGCCACAGGCAAAGACAGGCCGGCACAACCCTCGCACTCCAGACACAGCCGTCTCCAGCAGAGCAGTGCTGGCTTTTACCCACTGTGCTGCTGGAGTGCTGACAGGAAAATGCGCTTTTCCTTCAGGATGGAGCAGGTACACCGCCCCTTACTTTCGCTCCTCAGCTGCACGCTCCAGCAAGGACTCCTGCCCCTGTCACAAAGTGGCTTTTTTAAACCTGTCAAAAGGGGGTTTGAAAACCCCCCAGCCAGTAAAGAGCCAGCCTAGGAGATGAGAGAATTTGACAACTGCTATTTTAAATCAATTTGTACCAGAGGCTGGTACAGGCCCAGTTCAGAGAGTGTTGGGACAGCGTTTTTGGTGGTTGAGACAGAGCAGGAATCATCTTCCTGAACTTTGCAGTTATCTACCTCTGCGTGGGTCATTCTGGACGGGCTTTATGCAGGCAATGGGAGAACATGGCTCTTCTCGGACTCCCCTACATCCCAGAGAATCTGCATGAAGTGAAACCACAGGCAGAAACGCCCCCTTTCCTTAGGGTGCACAGGGAGAAGTCTGTTCCCCAGCTGGTCACAGACATCTTCACCGACAACACACAGAATGAGGAAACCCAGGAGTGCAGCCTCCCAGGATCCTTTCAGCTCGCTCTGGGAAGGCAGCTTCCCCGCAACGAGAGTGGCAGAAGTCCTGCCTCCCCGTCTGACTGCGGCTTGGCCACAAGCTCACCACAGCGCTGCCAATTCACCCATCCACGGCCTTCTACTCCTTGAAGTTACCCAAGCAGGACTGGCCCTCCATTTCACACTCTGGCCAGTACGCCAAAGGATAGTGGTGTTTGGAGCAGCTCTGGGAGCCGGGTGCTTGTGTTGCCTTATCTCCAGTAAAAAATTACAGCTCTTGGGCACCTACCTGATGGAAGAAGTAGGTGACTGCCAGGTCGTTGTCATTGAGAAGAACCTCCTCCTCTGTAGTGAACAGCCATTTTCGGATGGTCAGGCACGTTCCCGGCACCGCCGAGGTGTAGTTCTGCACGTAGAGTTTGTGGGGGAATTCATTGGGCGCCAGTTTGCGCACTGGAAAAAGCACAAAACATCAAGGTAAGCACATGGCCCCACACAGCATCAGCAGCGTCGTCTGTGACCGCAGCCTGGCTGCTGTACAAATCACCATCGGCGATGCCCTTTAGCTGAGCCGGCCGGGATCAGGACCCCAGCTCCGCTCCAAGGCCCTTTCTTCTCCTCCCTGACAAAATCCAGCTTTTCTCAATACCTGCTTCCGTAGTGTCAGACCATGCTGGTCCTCTAGCGCACAGGCAGGAGTCTGCGTGAGACAGAGCTCCTCTTGGCCGTCAGAGAGCTCCGGGCAGCTCTTGAGCATCAGCACAACGGCCTGACTTCATCCCCTGCTGCGCACAGGGAGGTCCGCCCTGCCCAAGCCTTGGGATGGCAGTGCCCCGGGCCGATGCACCGTCCCCACAGCGTGGGGGGGCTGGAGAAGGTCCCCCCGTCCTGGCAGGCTGCCGCCAGAGCCCGGACAAAACCTGCTGCACTGCTCAGCCAAGCTGGGGCAGCTGGGCCACCAGGCGGGACATTTACTGTGTTCAAATCTGCCTTAGCCAGCTTTGATGGACAAAAAAAGACAACTGCCAGTAGGTCTCCTTCATCAGGTAGGGATATGGTCACTGTCTCACTGCAGATGGAGCTTATGGTTTCCAGAGAAATTAAATGGAGTGTATCCAGACAAGAAGAAACGTGGATGTTTGCAGCAAGTGTCCAGAAAGCACAAGCCATAAAGGTTAACTGGAGTTTTTACTTTCCAGTGCAGTTTGAGAAGCGCAGTGCTCACAGGAACAAGGAATTAACAGCTCCAGTTAGAGTCCGGCACCGTAAACGCTTCCTCCGCGAGACTGTGCCCGTGCGCTGCAGCGTCCCATCTCCCAGCATCGGGTGCTCCTGCCTGGGGCTCCCCGCACGGCCCTGCCCGGCCTCGGCAACCTCAAAGCACGTCGACCCTCCAGCCCTGCTCTTCCCTCGCTATGTCCGTGTCCTGCTCTGACGCACCAGCACCCAGTAACCCTCAAAAAGCGACCACAAACCCGCTGGCAGAGGCAGTTCTGCAACACTGTCCTGGTTTCAGCTGGGATAGAGTTAATTTCCTGCTTAGTAGCTGGCACAGTGCTGTGTTTTGGATTTAGGATGAAAATAATGTTGATCACGCACTGATGTTTCAGTTGTTGCTGAGCAGGGCTTGCACTGGTCAAGGACTTTGCAGCTTCCCGTGCTCTGCCCGGGGCACAAGAGGCTAGGAGGGGGCACAGCCAGCGGGGCTGGCCCCGACTGGCCCAAGGGCTATTCCACACCATATGGCGTCACGCCCAGTATAGAAACTGGGGGAAGGAGGAGGAAGGGGGGGACGCTGGGAGCGATGCCGTTTCTCTTCCCAAGTCACCGTTACGGAGCCCTGCTTTCCTGGGGATGGCTGAGCACCCGCCTGCCGATGGGAGGCAGTGAAGGAATTCCTGGTTTTGCTTTGCTTGCGTGCGTGACTTTTGCTTCACCTATTAAACTGTCTTTACCTCAACCCACGAGCTTTCTCACTTTTACCCCTCTGATCCTCTCCCCCGTCCCACCGGGGGAACAAGCGAGCGGCTGCGCGGGGCTCAGCTGCCGGCTGGGGTTAAACAGCGACAAACGCCAACAGTTTTACAGGAGACTGGTGATCTTGGCTGCCCCAGGGTCACTGTCTGAACGCAAACCTAGCCTGTTCTGTGGGATGAGTCATTTTAGGAGGGCTTTAAGTAGCTAAAAATTGCCCTGGCCGTTCAGCCAGAATCTTGTGAGCACAAGGAACAGCCCTAGAAATCTCTTGCTACAAGGCAGTGTGCCCCAACACAGGATGAGTTTGAGGCACATAAAGATGACAACCCAGAAATGAAGGCACCCAGCTGGGAATGAGAAATACACTTGGCTTAAAACCAAGCACAGGGAAAAAAAAATAAAACACAAACGAACCACTACACCCATTTTGTGGTGCGACCATGACATTTTGGCCTCTCTACAGCTTCAGCAAACCCAAGGTGAAGCTGGGCGAAATCAGAGATTGCTGCGGCCAGGGATCTGAACAGCAGCCAGGAGACTCCAGCGCGCACTAAGCTGGAAGGACGGCAGTTACTTAAGTGCCAAAACGATCGCCCCGAATCGCGCACTCAAGCCTCAAATACCATCGGGATTTAACCACGGAAGGAGAGGTGAGAAGCTGAGATGCAGCTTGCAGCACATCCCCTCCAGGACCCGGACGCTGACCCACACCTACGCGCGTGCCCTCGATCCGCTTTCCTTTCCAGCAAAGGAAGAGGAAAAAAATCCACCCCAAGCCACTGCTGGTGCCCCCCTCTCCAGAGACGGCTGCGTTGCAGTGACGCTGCCCACTTTTTCTAAGCTCGCTGGACCCTTTGAACTAAAGTAAAATGCGTCTTTCGGTTTAACAAAAAGCTCATCTCCTTGAGCCGCTTAAGAAAGGGAAAGTCAAGCGGCAGCAAAAAAAGCCATCAAGCTTTGAGGGCTCCTCGTTATCAGAGCCTACCGCACCCGCCCGGTTCCTCCCGGGGGCTCCTGATTTTGTGAGTAGAGATAAGACCTAAATGAGAGTGCCACTGGGCTCTGCAGCACTGCAGAGCCTTCTCCTCAGTTGCTCCTCAGCACCGAGGGGATCAAAAGACTTACCAAAGGAGTGATTGATCACTTCAAACAAGGCGAAGTAGTTTGCGGTAATACTGTCCATTCCGACTTTCGCAGCCACAGCCTAAAGAGCAACCAAACGGGAAAACGGGGTGAGCAAACCAGGAGCCGGCAGCTGCGCGTCCCCCTCCGGGGCACGGCCGGCTTCACACAGGTCATTCCCAAGTAGTCCCTAACCCGAGGGGGTAGTCGCTATGGGAAAACCTGAATTCGACTCTTCCAGTAAAACCAGATGTTAAGCAAGGGCTTCGACTCTCCCGCTTTCACCTTCCTGTAAACTGCTCTGGATTTGAAGTGCCACCATGGCTGACAAGTAGGTCATCTTTTCTTCCGATGCCTCCAGCCTCGGTCCCCAACAGAAGAGGCGTGCACACCTCCCCTGGGAGCTGTCTCCAACAGCGCTTCAGGCCTGCACGCTAGTACACAGCCAAAACCCACAGACCTCGGCGGAGGCGAGGTGCAATCCAACAGGCTGCGTCCCAAACGTGCGAACAGACTGCGCATCCCAGCCGCAGGACTCTGCCGCGCCGATCTGGAGCTCCCCAGAGCCGGCTCTTTCGCAACCCTCTGGCTCCCTCGCTTGCAGCAACATTTTTAGTTCCCCTTTCAAAAAGGGGTCTCCCCGGCATCATCCCATTCCCCCTACGCCACTGACAGCTTCCCCTTTTCCTCCAGCAGTGCTGGCTGAAGTCAGTTGCCCGTAGTTTCCCACGTAAAGCACTGGGCCTCTGGCCGCTCGCAAACCTGTCATCTGGCCAGAGGATTCCCCGCAGGGTCGCTGTGCTTAACACTCAACCCGCTGTCCTGCCGCACAGCCCCAGCGAGACTCGCGGTGGCTGCGGGCAGCTCCTGCATCCAGCTCCTCCACCGCAGCCACTGCAAGCCATAACACACAATCTGTCTGGTGCTTACAGCCACCCGCCAGCTTTAAGATATTATCAGTGAAAATTAATTCAGCGATGACTCTGTCCTTGCAGCCAAGCCTGCCAGCAAAAGCGCTGCTTCAGCACGGCCCGAGGTCTGAGTTCTCTAGCGTCCCTACCCTCTCTGCTACAGCAAAGCAGCATCACTGACGCCCACCCGCACTCGACGAGGAGCAAGCGGGCACCCACGGGGTCTTGGTTAACGTCCCAATGATGTTAATCTTCCGGTCAAGGCAAATAAAAAGTAGCTCACCTGGTACACCTGGTCTGTAGTGCTGTTCTTTTTGACTCTGACTGTCACTGTTGTTATATCTGGTAACGCTACTCGGAGCTCCACATCCGAGACGCCATTGTAATTCTGAAGGAGGGCAGAAGAGAGGGCAGAAATCAGCATCACACAAACTGAGCCCCGAGCTCTGTGGACTATTTATTGCCTCACACTGGCTAATTAAAATGGTCACTTCTAACAACCAGCTGCTCTGCAAGCCTCAGGAATCCCACTCCAGTCTGCACCGGAGAAGTCCCGAAAGAAGGAAGACGTGAGCTCTGCTCCGAGACGTGAAGCCGAGCAAACTGCTTCAGACCACGACGGGGTGGGATTTTCCATCCCCGGGTTTGCCAGCGAAGAGCGAGAGGAAGCTCTGGGACATGGCAACTTAACGCACCTTGGAAAGGTCGGAAAAAGAGCAAGAGTTGAAGGGCAAACAGCAACTCCCTGCTGCCGCCTGCCACTCGGATCTCGGGAGGAGCAAGTCAGACCGACGGGGATTCAGAGCGCCTGCTGCCTTTCTGGCCGCTGCCAAGCAGCTCACAAATGCAAAGCGACCTGGGCTGCCACCCGCACAGAAGCCAGCAGGGAAGTCAGCAAATGTGTTTTTCTGCCGGGCCTCCCCTTGCCATAGAGCCAGGGCACGCAACGAGGCCTCGCGCCAGGGTCTGCTCTGGGCACGCCTCCGAGAGCGGCAGCGACGCTGCTCCTAGCCGCTGCTATGGAGAAAAGGTTTCCTACGTGCAGCGACAGACAGCAAACCGCAGCCTTCATTTTCTGCTATCGTCTTCTATTCAACCAACTGAGGCTTTGGCAGGGAACGTCTCTGCTCTCTGATCCAGTTTTACCAAGCGTTTACGGCCTCTGTAACAGGGAAGGTCACGGCAGAGCCTCAGCACCGTCGCCGACGTGCCTACCTCGTCCGACTCCGACAGGAACTCCTGCATGATGTCGCTCTCCCCAATGACGCGTATCGAACACACTGCGGGGCAGAGAGCGCGGGTTAGTGGGGTGCCCGGGGAAAGGGGGAGCTCTCCCCTCCCGCAACCGGCCCAAAAGTGACTTGGAAACAACAACTGTCTGTTCTGCGGGCGGTGTGAAACAAGAGCGTATCTCCAGCCTGGAAAAGCCTTCTCAAAGCGAGCGCTTTCCGGGCTGTATCAGGTGTCCTGGCACAAAGACTGATCCAGCCTGAATCTCCCACAACAGCAAGCGACAAGAGGTGTTGAGTAGCTCACTGAGATATTCCCAGTGGGTGACATCCAGGCCCCAGGCACAGCGCCAGCCAGAGGTTTAGACCATACTTAAAAGTGGGCAAGAATTTCATAAATAGTCCTTTTGCCTCTAAAAAAAAAAGTTATCCCAGAGGGACTGAATCTATTTGGGAATTTAGGCCAAGTTCAGCAAATCATTCGGACCCAAACTGTATCATGTTGCCTCTAAGACGCAACCAGCCCGTCCCTTCCTCCAGCCAGCTGGTAAGCGAGGAGGAAGATGAAGGAGCCGGGCAAGGCAGGGCTGATACCAGCGGGGTGGGGAAAACCTGACCCACGTCCATCTTGGGGGAAGCAGGGGCTTCACTCCCAGGTGCTGGGTAAGGCAAGAGGCTGTTAACTCACACGAATGAACCGAGCTGCTGCCAGGCAGCTAGGAAAATAACACAGCATCATAGGAACAGGGGTCACTGCTCCCCGAATCCCACCTGCAGCCTCTTCACTGCAAAGCGTGGGGTCAGGTCTTTCCGCCAGGCACTCCGATACAGAGGTAAGGTTTTGCATCCACTTTCCCACCATCTGAACTCGATCTAAAGGAAGCTGCTGCTGCAGGCGTTACAATTCTGATTAAAAAGGACGAAAGCGCTTCAGCCCTGAGCAAGCTCAGGTTGAGCTGAGCTCCCCTGATGAGAACGGCCTCGAACGCGACTTTCTCCCTGCTCCAAAGCTTCCCTCCTCTTCCTCCTCCCCGTGCTCCCTCATCTCCAAGACTACTGGTGAGCAACACGACACTATAAATAAAAGCTCATTATGCGTTAAAACACTAATTATACATTTTGTTGTTGGAAGTGCGCTGCAAGGTGGTAACGCACGCATCATTAAGCCATGGCAAGTCTGGGCTCCCTCTCCCCACCTCAGCCGTAAAATCCAATCCAGCTACAAACGAGCTTCCGTCCCTCACAGGTAAACAAACACCTGTGCAGTTCTGGACCACCCCTGGAAGGATGTACCCCGCGGATCTGTTTCCCCACTTGCGAGGAAGGCGGCGCACGGCTGCCTGGGCTCTCCTCCCAGCTCAGTACCTTTCTCCAGGTACTCCTCCAGCCCTCGCCGCCGGGCGTCCAGCTGCTGCTCCGACAAAGAGAACGGCCACTTCCCTGGGAGACGCGGAAAAGTGAAGTTTGCAAATTCCCGTTTCAGGTTCTGGTGCAGGATGGCGAACTCCCGGTACCGCTTCGAGCAGAGCTGGCGGCCCGCCATGTAAACGTTGTAGACCTGCGGGGAGGAGAAGAGGCTCACTGCGGGGAGGGAAGATTTCCAAATCCAAACCGGAACAGCTCTGCCTTCCCGGACCCGCAGGTAGCGCAAGACTAAATTAGGAGGGTTTGAGCTAGAATGAGAAACTGGTATGAAGAGTTAAATACGCCGCTGCCGATCCCTGGAGAACGTCCCAGCTACCACCTCCACCTGACAGCAGCAGGATCAGCGCGAGTTCAAGGCACCTTTCTACCCCAAGAAGAGAAGAAAACCAGGGGAGAAGCAGCATTACATATCCTTTAGGAGCACCCCACATTAACTAGTTTCTTCGCTATGCGTGCGCTCTTCCAGTTTCATTCTGGACACCATTAAGGAAATAGGACTCTGGTCCCAAACAGGGGAAACCCAGAGCAGAGCCACAGTCGCAGGACATTTCTCAGCACTGTGATGCTCTTCAGGGAATTCCTTTCCCGTTCGTTAACCAGCCGCCTCCATTTTTAAAGCCAATCTGCTCAGTCTGGCAGGCAAGTTAAACAAGCTCTTATCTAGGCATTGCTAATATGCCCTCGGCGATAAGGAGGTCCCAAACAGCAGCGTTACCTTAATTAGCTCACGTGAGGAAAGGGGTGCAGTGGGGAAGAGAGTAGGTTCGTGCTTTTTCACGTTGCACAAGGGAAGCGTTTGCAACCGCAACCTTTCCTCTTGAGGAGGGGAGCATCACCCTCCGCCGTCCTCCCGAAGCCAAAGGGCTGGCAGAGCACAGAGGCGGCGTCCAGCAAGAGGCACGTGCCGAAGACGCACCGAGGGCAGCTTCAGCAGCACTCAGAAGACAAAACCCCAGCCTGCTCCCCAGATGAGGGCTTGGAGCGGTCCCAGCTCGCTCCCCCTCCACGCCTGCACTCCAGGTACCTGCCCGACAACCTTCGCGAGGGGAAACTGCTCCAACAAAACCACAGCTTTTTCCTGAAAAAGCAGCACGCGTTCAACCCTGCCGGCGTCACCTCGGGAGAAGGCGCCAGGATAGGGCTAGCTCCGAACAGCAGCAGCTACTGCCCGTCCAGTGACGAGGCTCCCTCTGACCCCCCTGCACTGCGCTCTTTTAAGAACCTCTGGCTTCTAGGACCCTTTTCCTCCTGCCCGGTACGGCACACCTGATCCGACAGCATCCCGCCTGGGCTGGGACAGCAGGGTGCAGCACATGCTCCCCGCGAGGCTGCGGATCCACAAGGATTCCATCTGTCCCCTTCAGAGACAGGCACGCCAGGGTGGCAGGTTGAAGTGACACGCTTTGCACAGCAGCCGGACTCTTCTGGCAAGCCGAGCGCTGCTGAA